AAAGAGAGGAATTGTTGGGTCATATGGTTATTCCATGTGTAACTCATTGAGGAACTGCCAAGCTGTTTTTCATGGGAGTGGCATCATTTCACATTCCCACCAGCAGTATATGTGGGTTCTAATTTCTCCACATACTTGCAAACACTTGTTGTTATAGCTATCCTAGAGGGTGTGAAGTGACATCTTACTGTGGTTTTGATTTGCATTTCCATAATAACCGAAATGTTGAGTATCTTTTCACGTGCTTATTGGATATTTGTGTCTCTTTGGGGAAATGGCTATTCAAATCCTTTGCCCATTTTTCAGTTGGATTATTTGTCTTTATATTGTTGAGCTGTAAGATATACATATATGTATATATTCTGAATACAAAGCCCTTATCTGAAATATGATGGGCAAATATTTTCTTCCATTCTGTGGATGTCTTTTTTTGGTGTTGTCCTTGGAGCAAGAAAGTTTTTAATTTTATTGACGTCAAATTAGTCTATGTTTTCTTTGGTAGCTTGTTCTTTAGGTATTATGTATTTTTTTTTTAATTAATCGAAGGTCACAAAGATTTACATCTACTTTGTCAATTTCTGCAAAGAGCCATCTGGTATTTGGATAGGGATAGTTTTAAATTTATAGATCAATGTAGCAAGTATTGCCATCTTGACAAAATTAAGTCTTCCGATCCATGAAATGGAATGTATTTCTTTTTGTTCAGGTCTATTTTAATTGCTTTTGTAGTATTCAGAGTACAAGTTTCGTACTTCGTTTGTTAAATTTATTCCTAAGTATTTTATTCTTTTGATGCTATTGCAAATGGAATTTTCTTAATTTCATTTCTGAATTGTCCATTGCTAATGCATAGGAATACAATTGATTTTTTATTGATCTTACATCCTGAAATCTTAATAAAATTATTGATTCATTCTCATAGGTTTTTCAGTAGGTTCCTTAGGATTTGCTGTGTCCAAGCTCACGTACAAGATCACCTGCAAATTGAGGTAGTTTCTTCGTCCTTTCTAATTTGGGTGTCTTTTTTCTTTTCTTGCCTAAGTGCCCTGATGAGAACCTCCAAAGTAGTTCAAGCAAACATATTTGTCTTATTCTTGGTCCCAGATTTAGTCTTTCATCCATTAAGTATTACGTTAGCTATGGGTCTTTGTAGATGACCTTTATCAGATTGAGAAATTTTTTTCTGTTGCAAGATTGCTGAATGTTGTTATTATGAAGGGAGGATGTTTGTTTTGGTCAACTTCTTTTTCTGTATCTAAATTATCATGTGTGACCAGGTGTGGTGGCTCACGCCTGTAATCCCAACACTTTGGGAGGCTGAGGGGGGCAGATTGCTTGAGCCAGGGAGTTTGAGGCCAGCCTGGGCAACACAGCAAAACCCCATCTCTGCAAAAAATGCAAAGAATTAGCCAAGAAGGTGTGGTGGTATGCACCTACAGTCCCAACTACTCAGGAAGCTGAAGTGAAAGAATTGCCTGATCCCAGGTCCAGAAAGTTGAGACTGAGTGAGCTGTGATCAAACCACTGCATTCTAGCCTGAGCAATGGAGTGTGACCCTGTCTCAAAAGAAAAAAAAGAAAAAAAATACAGAAAACCAAATATATATTCACACACACATATATATGTATATATATTATCATGTGTTATATGTTTTGTCTCTTATTCTATTAATATTATGCATCACATTAAATGATTTTTGGATGTTAAATTAACTTTGTACTTCTGAGGTAAATCCCACTAAATCACAACGTTCTTCATATGTTGCTGAATTTAGATTGTTAGTATTTTGTTGAGAATTTTTACAGCTACATTCATAAGAGATATTGTTCTGTACTTTTCTTATGATGTCTTTTTCCGATTTTGGTATCAGGGTAACCATAAAATGACTTGGGAAGTGTTTTCTCCTCTTCTGAATTTTGGAAGAGTTTGGGAAAAAATGATACTAATTATTCTTTAATTGATTTATAGGATTCACCAGTGAAGCCATGTGATTCTTTTTGGAAAGTTTCTTAATTGCTAATTCGATCTTTTTTCTTGTTATAGATCTATTTCAGATTTTTATTTCTTTTTGAGTCAGTTTTGGTAATTTGTGTCTTTCTAGGAATTTGTCTCTTTCTAGGAATTTGTCTATCTTATCTAAGTTATCAAATTTGTTGTCACACAGTTGTTTATATTATTTTCTTATAGTTATTTTTTGTTCTTGTAAGGTTAGTAGTGATGTTCTCTCTTTCATTTCAGAGTAGTATTTTGAGTCTTTTCTCTTTTATTCTTGGTCAGTCTAAATAAGGTTCATCAATTTGGTTGCTGTTTCCAAAGAAACAACTTTCATTTTGTTGATTTTTGCTATGGTTTTTCCATTCTCCAGTTCATTCGTTTCTGCCATAATCATCATTATTTCCTTGCTTCTGCCTGATTTAGGTTTTGTTTGCTCTTCCATTTTTAGGGTCTTAAGTGAAATGTTAGGTATTCAATTGGGATCTTTCTTCTCTTTTACTATAGATGTTTATAGGTATAAATTTCTCTCCAAGTGCTACTTTAGCTGTATTCCCTAAGTATTCATTGTCATTCATCTCAAAATAGTCTCTTATTTCCCTTGTGAGTCTTCTTTGAGTTACTGGTTGTTTAGGAGTCTGTTGTTAATTTCCATGTATTTGAGAATTTCTCAAATTTCTTTTGTTATTGATTTCTAATTTGATTCCATTGTCGAATCATCTATTTCTCCTTTCAATTCTGCCAGATTTTGCTTCATGTATTTTAGGGCTCTGTTTTTAAGTATATTTATCTTCTTAACTGTTCTATCTTCCTCAATTGACCCTTTTAGCATTATAAATGTCCTTCTTTGTCTCTAGTAACAATTTTTTTTTTTTTTTTTGAGGCGGATTCTTGCTCTGTCGCCCAGGCTGGAGTGCAGTGGCACGATCTTGGCTCACTGCAACCTCCGCCTCCCAGGTTCAAGCGATTCTCCTGCCTCAGCCTCCTGAGTAGCTGGGATTACAGGAGCCCGCCACCACGCCCGGCTAATTTTTGTATTTTTAGTAGAGATGGGGTTTCACCGTGTTGGCCAGGTTGGTCTAGAACTCCTGACCTTACGATCCACCCACCTCAGCCTCCCAAAGTGCTGGGATTACAGGCATGAGCCACCGTGCCCGGCTTTGTCTTAATTTTTTAAAATATGACATTATTATTAGTATATTCACTTCAGCTCTCTCTTATACCTGCTGCTTGCATGATATCTCTTTTTCCATCCTTTGACTTTCAATCTATTTTTGGCTTTGAATCAGAAATATGCCTTTGCAAAGAACATATGGTTAGATCATGTTTTTTGTTTGTTTGTTTTTTTACCCAGTCTGACACAATCTGCCTTTTGCATGGATTATTTAGTAAGTTCATGTTTAATTTTATTATGTATATGGTCGAACTTACTTATGCAATTTTACTTTTTCTTTTCTATACGTCTCATGTCTTCTTTTGTTATTCTCTTCCTCCTCTACTGCTTCCTCTGCATTAAATGAGTATTTTCTTGTGTTTGTTGTTTGGTCACAAAAAAAAAAAAAGGAAAGAAAAATTAAGAATATTGTGCAGTATAACATTTTAATTTATTTAACAATTTTTCAGCTGGGAGAGGTGGCTCACACCTATAATCTCAGGACTTTGGGAGGCCGAGGCAGACGGATCACTTGAGATCAGGAGTTCAAGACTAGCCTGGCCAACATGGTAGAGTATTTGTCTCTACTACAAATACAAAAAAATTAGCCAGGTGTCTTGGCGCACGCCTGTAATCCCAGCTACTCAAGAGGCTGAGGCAGGAGAATCACTTGAACCCAGAAAGTGAAGGTTGTGGAGAGCCAAGGTCGTGCCACTGTGCTTCAACCTGGGTAACAAATAGTATATATTGTAAGTTTGATAAGCAAAAAAAATCCATCTCATTTTCATCTGTCTTTTACAAAACACACACACATATATATATTATTTTCTTTTTTCTTTCTTTTTTTTTTCTTTTTTTTGAGACAGAGTCGTGCTCTCTTGCCCAGGCTGGAGTACAGTGGCATAATCTGGGGTCACTGCAACCTCTTTCTTCCAGCTTCAAGCAATTCTCGTGCCTCAGCCTCCTGAGTAGCTGGGAATATAAGTATGCACCACCATGCCCGGCTAAATTTTGTGTTTTTGGTAGAGACTGGGTTTCACCATGTTGGCCAGGTTGGTCTCAGACTCCTGGGCTTAAGCAATCCACCTGCCTCGGCTTCCCAAAGTGCTAGGATTATAGGCATGAGCCACCATGCCCAGCCACACATACATATTTTTTCTAGATGAGCTCTTGCTATGTTTTCCAGGCTGGTTTTAAACTTCTGTGCTGAAGCCTTCCTCTCACCTCAGCCTCACCAGTAGGTATGAGCCATCATGCCTGGCCCCATTTCATTTTTATGTTCAAATTTAGGCAATCTGAGTTGAGAGAGATGATTCCAGAAGAGGCATCTGCATATTTGTATTGCTAAATTAGTCACAGTTAGCACCCCACTATGACTGTGAGATGTGAAGTGAAAGTGAAATATGAAGGAGGTGGAAACTTCCAGAAATGAAGCAAGAAGCAGCCTTCATGTCTTCGGGAGGGGGCAAAAAAGAACCTACCTAGGGAAACATTGACACCAGTGGTGCACACCTGTAATCCCAGCTACTCAAGAGGCTGAGGCATGAGAATCACTTGAACTTGAGAGGCAGAGGTTGCAGTGAGCCGAGACTATACCACTGCACTCCAGCCTGGGCAACAGAGTGAGACTGTCTCAAAAAATTAATAAAATAAAATAAAAATTTAAATTCAACCTTTTAAAGACACACAGGTGCTGCATTTCTGTTGAAAAGTAAGAATATATAAAGATGCTTTCAGCACTGAAAAACACTGGTAAACTTCCATAACTCATTATTAAAAAAAAAAATTAAGCATGTGTTTATTGGTGTGCTGGATAGTATTTCTTTGATGTATTTCTTTTTCCTTTGCCTCTCAGATATAGATCTCTCTAGCTAACTTTACTGGATCTATCAGAAGAAGAAGAGGAGTGAAGGAAAGAGACCCAGCCACCCAAAAGAACTTCATGATGCCAACAGTGTGATTGCTTAGAAGTTCCTACACAAAAAAAAAGGATCATTTGAAAGCACCTGGGATGGTTTATTAGCTTCAGAGGATTTTATTCTTCTTGGCTTCTCTTTAGAGGGAAAGTAACATAAATTCAAAAGGATTCCAATCTGAAGCCCAAATTGTTTGCCTACATAACAAAAACATCTCATCTTTTCCTGCACAGTATTATTCTCTTATGGGTTAAAAAGAAAAATAGCTTTTAGTGTCTTACAACTCTCTCATGGTAAAAGGTGCAATAATTTAAAATGTTGCTTTCATATTCCTATAATTCTCCAAAAGTATATGTTTGAGTGATTTTCTAAAAACTGCTCAACCTGAAACAACTGCATTGACCATTTGGCTTCGCACAAAAGGGAGAAAATAATTGGTTCTTTGATTATAGATAAAGACTAAGAAAAGCTATTAATTGCTGCCAATTTTATGATAGGCTTTAAGGTTTATGAAAGTATGATTTTTTGATTTCATGAGTAATGTTGTCCATTTGAAGTTAAAACATAAAATCCTAATTGTAGTTCATTTTATGTTCAAATGAAACCACTGTTTTTGTTTTTGTTTTTGTTTTGAGACAGAGTCTTGCTCTGTTGCCCAGGCTGGAGTGAAATGGCACGCTTTTGACTCACTGCAACCTCCACCTACCAAGTTCAAGTGATTCTCGTCCCTTAACCTCCCAATTATAGGCTGGGATTATGTGTGTGCCACCACACCCAGCTAATTCTTGTATTTTTTGTAGAGATGAGGTTTCACCCTGTTGCCCAGGTTGGTCTTGAATTCAGGCTAGAACCATTCATTTTTTAACCTTTCTCATCATGTAATTATAAGAACCCCATGTTTGATTTCCTTTGAAATTTTGTTATGTCCTTTATTATTTTGTATAGATAATTTCTTAAAAAGTCTTAAAGTTGACATCTAAAATACAGTTATGCCAATGAAGTCCTACTCAGGGTGATATCTGTATCTAAAAGATGAATGCTCAACATCCTATTAGGCTTTGTCTTGGTGTTGTTCATCCCGAGATGCTGAGACATGGAAATAAAAAATCAGAAGGAATTTAGGGATATGATTACTCAAAAAAGAAACTATCCTGTCTAAATTTGAGTTGTGTTGATAACTAGGTGTTCCTCAGATGCTAAGATGTTCTTAATTTGTATTTATTGAAGGATTGTTAGCTTAGTGCCACAGAATTTTTCTTACTTTATGTTAATTCCAGGTAAGAAATTTACAAGTTTATATCTTTTTTTTCTTTTTCTTTCTTTCTTTCTTTTCTTTTTTTTTTTTTTTTTGAGATGAGATCTGGATCTATCACCCAGGCTAAAGTGCAGTGTCATGATCTAGGCTCAACCTCCACCTCCCTGGCTCAAGCGATCCTTCCACCTTAGCCTCCCGAGTACCTGGGACTACAGGCATTCACGGCCACACCTGGCTAATTTTTGTATTTTTTGTAGAGATGGGGTATCGCCATGTTGCCCAGGTTGGTCTCAAACTCAGGCTGGTGAGCTCAAGTGATCCGCCTCCTTGGCCTCCCAAAATGTTGGGATTACAAGCATGTGCCACCATGCTGGGCCAAAAGTTCATATCTGGAGTAGAAGTTTTACTTTGTAAACATTATAAAGTAGAAGAAACCATAAACCATTAACCCTTATTTTGCTAAAATGAAAGGTTGGGGTTAATATATATGTAATTTTAAATAGAAAATCTGACAACACTGTAGAATTTCAAAGCTTATTAAAAGTGTCTTTTCAGATGAATCGTACTTTCCACAAGTGCATTTGAGTAGAAACATAAGCTAGTCTCAGTTATGTTTATGTTTATATTTATGTTTAAAATACATACTTGTTTGTATATTTTGTACTGAAAAAAAAAACCACTTGATTGTCAAGATACACCTCATTCAATACAAGTCTAAACTCTTTCAAGTACAAATTTGCATATTCACATAAAAAATTACAAATCGATTTTACCATTGTAAAGTAATGAAATGGTTATACATTTCTTAATTGTTCAATAAAACACTCAATGATTTGAATGTCTGGCTGTCCTTACTTTGCATAAGAAGTATTCAGTGTTGAGTATAGTATGGTAGAAATGGTCCTGATACCTGTCTGTGTTTCCAGTGTTTGTTCATATTAATTGAGGCATTTAAGACTGAACAGTCTCGATACATCCCTTACCACTGCAGATCTTTTACGTCATTCAAGATTATCAGAGCAAGGGCAAAGATTCTCTCAAAGTCTACCAAAACTCAATAACCAGTGGCACATATGCTTGTTGACATACCAGAACAGGTCATTGACATACAACTATCTTTTATTCACTGGGAGGTGAATGAGACCAGATGGGTGCCAAATCTGTGTTCTTTAAACTTAACAATTTTTATGGGTTGGTATTCTTTTAAGTATTTTTCTTGGAGATAGAGTCTCACTCTGTTGCCCCGGCAGGAGTGCAGTGACATGCCTTCAGCTCACTGCAACCTCCACCTCCCAGGTTCACACGATTCTGGTGCCTCAGCCTCCCAAGTAGCTGGGATTATAGGCGCCCGCCACCACTGCACCTGGCCTAATTATTTTTCTATTAAAAGTTTTTTGTGGCCAGGCACGATGGCTCACATCTGTAATCCCAGCACTTTGGGAGGCTGAGGCTGGTGGATCACCTGAGGTAAGGAGTTCAAGACTAGCCTAACCAACATGGAGAAACCCATCTCTACTAAAAATACAAAAATTAGCTGGGCATGGTGTTGGGCGCCTGTAATCCCAGCTACTCAGGAGACTGAGGCAGGAGAATTGCTTGAACCTGGGAGGAAGGGGTTGTGGTGAGTCGAGATCACGCCATTGCACTCCAGCCTGCACAACAAGAGCAAAACTCTGTCTCCAAAAAAAAAAAAAAAAAAGTTATTTGTAATTTCTAACATTTTCAGAACACAAAGGAAAAGACTTTTTACAGAGTTTGATCAAGGTGGTTAAAGGGATCAGTAGTAATGGTGTCACCCCAATTTGGATCCCAGGGGTGAGTCAGTGAGTAGACCAGATGGAGGGTAGTGGACCAAAGAAAATCGTAAAGCCTGATCCCTTCTTTCAGGTTTTGCCGTTCTTACAGCTTCCTTTGAGGAACAAAAATCATTGTTTGTTGTACATTTGATCAGAAGGAAAAAGAAAAACTGAAATTAGTGAGGTCAGTGAAGTCTTCGGTCCCATCCTGAATCATTTTTACCCTCAGTTCAGGGACAGGTCTGGAAGAGTGAGCACAAAACTGAAGAGTGTGCTGAAAATCTCCGCAATCAAGTTAACATTTGAACTCCATTTTTGGAAAAAAAAAAAATTAACACCCACGAAAAATACATGATGAATAAAACATCAAAATTTTAGATAAACACAGGATATTAGGAATAAGTGTGGCGGCTCACCCACCCAAAGTGTAATCCCAGCACTTTGGGAAACTAAGACAGAAAGATTGCTTGAAGCAAAGAGTTAGAGACCAGCCTCTGCAACATAGCAGGTCTTCATCTCTAAAACAAAATAATTAGCCAGGCATGGTGGTGCATGCCTGTCGTCTAAGCTACTGGGGAGGCTGAAGTAGGAGAATCACTTGAGCTTAGGAGTTGAAGGCTACAGTCAGTTATGATCACCACTGCATTCTAGCCTGGGCAACAGGAAGACCCTGTTGAAAGGAAGAGAGAGGGCCAGGCGCATTGGCTCACACCTGTAATCCCAGCACTTTGGGAGGCCAAGGCGGATAGATCACTTGAGATCAGGCTTTCGAGACCAGTCTGGCCAACATGGTGAAACCCCGTTTCTACTGAAAACACAAAAATCAGCGAAGTGTGGTGGTGAGTGCCTGCAGTCCCAGCTACTCAGGAGGCTGAGGCAGGAGAATCTCTTGAACCCAGGAGGATGAGGTTGCAGTGAGCCGAGATTGCACTACTGCACTCTGGCCTGGGCAACAGAGCAAGACTCTTGTCTCAAAAAAAAAAAAAAAAAAAAACCAGAAAGGAAAGAAAGAAGAGAGAGAGAGGAAGAGAGAGAAGGAAGGAAGGAAGGAAGGAAGGAAGGAAGGAGAAAATTAGTTAAACCATGTTAGAGCCTTTGGCAAAATGAAAAATCACTCGTTTGAATCTCATCAATAACAAGAGGCTTCTCTAGGCATATTGGGGCCTGAGTTTCAGCCCTCTGCTTCCTCCCTTCACTCTCACTTCCCAAAATGACCTCACTCCCCAAACTCCATGTCTGTAGCCCATTTTCCATTCTTGGCTTCCACTAGCTAAAGTGTTCATGGAAAGAACACCAGATTCTAGCCCTGGCTTCTTTTGCATCTAAGCTTTCATTTCACTATAAATCGTATTATTGGATTCCAAGGAGTAAGACAGTTCAAGTGAGGTTGATGATTTGAGGCTCTGGCCCCTGTCAACTGCTCTGCAGAAAGTATTATTAACCCCATCTGGAAGTCGGCCATCTGATTGTGCACCAGGAATTCACAAGGACTAGCCACACCATCTCCTGATTCTGAACACTTTTAGAATTACTACAACACTCCCTATTTTTTTAAGTGTCCCCTTAATACCTCATATCAGCTTGGTTTTGTGTCACTTGCCATGTAAGTGACTTTATACTAGTCTTCAAGCTGGGCACAGTGGCTCGTGCCTATAATCCAACACTTTGGGAGGCTGAGGCAGGAGGATTGCTTGAGTCCAGGAGTTCGAGACCAGCTTGGGCAACATAGCAAAACCTTATCTCCATAGAAAAATAGAAAAAAATAGCCAGGTGTGGTGACATGCACCCATGGTCCCAAGCTACTGGGAGTTCGAGGCTTCAGTGAGCCATAATTGTGCCACTGCACTCCAGCCTGGGAGACAGAGCAACACCTTGTCTCAAAAAAAAAAAAAAAAAAAAGTCTTCAATAGGTGAAAGTAAAAGAATATTATGGGACATGCTGATGTGGGAGTGACTAAGCTCATGGGAGGACGTGAGAAGCAGTGGTGCCATCTTGGGAGTGGCAAAGGCAAGGTCCCCATGTTGATGTAGTCCAGTGGGCCCTGGGCACAAGCACAGCTTTCTTTTGGGGATCTTGGGGCTCATAGCAGGTACAGAGGACTCCACATCCCGGGGTGGGTGAATGAATAATATGCATCTTGGCCACAGGACACCTCAGAAAGCTGTGGTCTGCGTTGTGAAGGGGCTTGTGGGGCAGGGCTATATGGGTGGACATTTTGGGAAGATTGGAAATTTTGATCTCTGGGTACTCTATTGGAAAAATGTTCCTCTTTCCGCACCCCAGGAGTGAGTATAAACCTTGTTGAATCCAGTTCCAAGAGGCTTTATGTCCAGTAAGGAGCCCTAGAAGCTGCTGTTGGGCTTAGGGAGTGGAACTTAGGGTGAGTGAACTTCCTGGGATAAAAGAGGAGGCCTGGTCGAGGCTGGGGATGGCACTCCCCAGGAAAAGAACAGGGGCAGTCCCCTTGCCCCAGGAGTCTTGGGTACTTTCTCCTTTCCTGACTAGCTGCATTCTTGCTCTAGAAGGGCCTGTAGACTTGATTTCCTTGGTTGGCCTCTCCTTCCACCAAGATTGTCCTTCTTTGGTGTTAGATTGTCATTTTGGTGACATCTCAAATTACAGTCACACCAAGTGGGGCCAGACAGCCTACACTTGGTTGTTGATGGGCATGTGTCTGAGGAGACACACTTAGAGACAAGCCAGTGTGTTGCTCTGGTCACCTAAGAGCTCTGCAGTCCTGGGGCTGTGAGTTGAGGGTTGTTGAGAGTGTGCAGAATCTGACGCTGCTGCTGCTGCCTGCGCTCTACATGGCGCTGGTGGTCAACTGAGCAGTTCTAGGCTCTGCTGCTGACTCTGTGGCTTTGGGCTGCTAACCTCATCAAGGCCAAGTTTCCTCCTCTTTAAACTGTGATATGAACAGTTTGTAAACTGTGTAGAGGTCAGATGTGGTGGCTCACTCCTATAATCCCAGCACTCTGGGAGGCCGAGGTGGGTGGATCACATGATGTCAGGAATTTGAGAACAGCCTGGCCAAAATATAGTGAAATCCCACCTCTACTAAAAATACAAAATTAGCCAGGCATGGTTGTGCATGCCTGTAATCCCAGCTACTTGGGAGGCTGAGGCAGGAGAATCACTTGAACCCAGGAGGCAGAGGTTGCAGTGAGCCAAGATCACGCCATTGCACTCCAGCCTGGGCAACAAGAGTGAAACTCTGTCTCGAAAAAAAAAAAAGTGTGTAGAGCCTCA